GTTTACAATTCGTTCACCCTGAGTACTATACGAAATGAATAGTTGTTAAATTTCACTTTTTATTCAGTCATTTAATAGTTTATACACTTAAAAGATTATCTAGTGTCTAATGTAAAGTACTGCTTTTTCATTGACCATTTTACTGCAAGTTATTAACATTGTTATGATCTCTTATGTATCAGTCTCAGTGATGATATTACACAGACATTTTGAAATTGTGAACATTAATATAAACAAGATAGCAATGTACAAGAATTAAATATTCTTCAACAAAAATAATATATCCAGTATCTATAACGATGTGAAATATGAGTAAATCTGATCTGTTGTGATCAATTATTCATTGTTTTGATTTCTTTCATTGATTAATTACTTTCAGTATTATGAGCTGTTTCACCAACATGATAGTATAAATCATCACTATTACGTAATTTCATTTGATTTATTCTGTATTACCTTTTGTTTTATAATAATTAAACATAAACTACGTGTTCACGAGGGTTATGAGCAACTTAACACATTTAACCTAATCATCTCAAGCTTATTTTTCTGTTGACTTTATGATTTTTATGAAACAAGAAATTTTCATTCGTAAAGTCAGTAATTTGTGAAAATATATTGAAAGAACAAACCTTACAATCCTTGTAGTGTTATCTCTTTTGTTCTTTTATTATTGTTCTCTATATCTGATAATCATTAAGGTTAATTTGAAGGTACATTATCTATTTTTGGGAAGGTAAAGGGTTGTAGTGTCGATTACTACGCTAAGCCCATATAACTTGATCTAGCTTCTAGATAGGCCAATTTATTCATTCATCTTGATTCACATTTTAACTTTGTTAATTGTTCACTTGTCAACCTTGGCTGTTTTTATTTGAGCGTATGTGTGTACATTTCTTATCCTATTCATCACATATCTGTAACTTATTTCTATTCGACTATAAATATTGATTAACGCTTGATTACATAGAGTTGGCTCATACGCCTTTACCACCGCGAGTCATTTTGCGTCGCTCTCTTTCACTCGTTTCCTTCGCTTCGTCCTTCTGACTGTCTTTCTAGATTAACTAGTGTACAAAATATACATATTCAAAAATCCATTCTCGTATTTGACTTATTTAATTCCGTTATTCGCTAATGCGGATTAAGCCGATAATTATACACGAGGATCGACGATATGTATATTATCAATAACAATCACTCATACGATCTAATTTGAGTCAGATCACGGGCCACTAAAAGGTTCATTCCTCTGATTTCCAAGTAAATGAACCACTAGTTAAATAAATTCACACAAGTATAATAATTTCATGTCAAATTATTCACATAAATGGTTACTATCTATATATATTTTTTAAAGAATTTATCTTATTTACCATTCTCATTTTCTTTCCGAAATAATAATGTTAATTAAATTAACTCAATGGGATTTCAAAACTAACAACAGTTCTCCGCGTCACTATTATTTTCCTGTATGCTTTTAAGCTAAATAATAAATTAGTTTGACATATACATCACCGGTTTCTAGAATTCTGTACATTAATGTAAGAATTCACACGATCTAAATGGTAGGAATATAAAATGCAATACCAATAGTTTCATTGATGTGTGTAAAATATTCAGTTTTTATGCATGTCTATATGTATGTCAAATGAAATGATCAATTTTATAATCCATTAGCTTAGTAATCTTACAATCACACCTGAATTTATATTGGGGTAGAAGAGGTGGAATTCATCTATGAATTAATCCATTAGCTTATTCAACCAAAATCAAAATACTTATACTGGATAAAATTGAAGAAACCAATCTGCTAATTAAGACATCAGAATTAAACGAATATCTGATTGTTTTTATAGGCATTTAATCATATTTAAATCTTTCCCTTATCCTGTATATGATGTTAATGTGTTATTGTCATATGAGTGAGAGTCGAAGTGAATATTTTCAAAACGATTGACTTATTATGTTACAAGATGATAATCACTAATACTACAAAATCCATAGTTTTACATAGCCTCAAACATTACAAAAATCATCAAATCATGTATAGTTATTACTTATGCGTTTGATCACACACACATAAAGACACAATCAAGTGACTTCAGTGAGACTGATGAAACCCATATCTAAATAGTTTTATACTCAACAGAACAATCTAAAATAAATACATGTGTCAGATAACAATGCTCTTCAATTGAGGGGTATATAATTCAAAAAGATCACAAGAGTGGACAAAAGCCTATTGATTTTTTATATAAAAAAATAGTAATGAAACATTTTTTAGGTTTGTGAACATCCTATTTTATTAGTCAACTTAAGCCTTGTTAATGTGTCCAAAAAAAACCCCAAATAATTTCACTTTAAACGATGAAAATTTTTTATTTATTTTTATCATATTTGATAACTTGTCGTCATAATGTTTTTTTTAAAAAAAACCTCTCTTCCCTTTATTTCTAACCATAAAGTTTTATATTTGTTGTTGAGGGAGGGAGGGAGGGAGGAAGGTAGGGAGAGTTTTCATATAATTTGACAATTGAATTATGTAATCATATTGTACAAATATAATACATTATTTCCAAATCAATATTGTTTTCTCAAATACATTATTTAAATTTAAATCATCAATGAGTTGGTTGATATAGATAAATTGAAACTTGAATCATTCAATTTTCAATAAATAATAATAATATTAATAAACAGTTTTCAAATTTTTCTAAATGAATAATGTTTAATTGTAGTTTGATTTTTAAAAAAAGGCATCATTCGATGAGAAACAAAACAAACATAATAAACAACTGTAAATGGACTTTGGTATTATAATTAAATAGAATGTTTTAGTTAAGTTTCTTTTTTTTTAATTACGAAACAGTGATTATGAGATGGTGGAGCTTTGTAGCTCAGGTGGGTGATTTTGATGGAGCTGGACCAAAGCATTCAGCTCAGAGAACAAAACTCCATCAGAAACAGTGATTAAAACAAATTCAATATTTGATGTTTTTGTCAAGTTTTGACATTCTTAAAGTTATATTTTTATAAAATCTGAATCGATTTGATGTAGTTGTATAATTTGTTCACAATGAGATAAATGTCAACAAATTAAAATCGTTGATAGAAAGGGTGTTTTGTGTAGATTGTAATAATATAATAGTTGAATTCATAAGTCGATAAAAGCTAGATTATCATGGAAAATTTAGAAGTAATTGATGGTCGTTTCTTACTAATATAGTACTTCTCAGCAGCGCGCGTCCATGATCCCGTTCACGGGAATTGAAACCAGGACCTTCAGTCTCATGAGAAAAACAAAACGGCTGCCAGTGACTCCAGGTTTTCCATGATGGTCTAGCTTTTTATCGACTCATGAATTCAAGTATTAAACTAAAATCACCCTATTTTGCACAAGAATACTGAAATTAAATATTCATAGTGGGACAAATTTAAGTACTACAAAATGGCTATTTACCTTGTTAACAGATCACATAAGTAATATCTAGTGATTATTATCACTGTTCATTCTTTGTACTTTATTGTATAATTGGATATTGATCAATCATTACCTAATTTTATATAATATGAAAATATGACCTAATGATGAGAATTTAATCTTATTTACTTCGTGAAGTATCTATTTAAAAAAAATACTAATTACAACAACTGCCTAATTTTTCAATGACCCGTTCATCCATAGTTTTTGTTTTCAATTAATGTCATGACAAGTACTAAGAACTTTATGTACTGACCACTTTAAGCCCTTGATTTTACTTCATGTAGTGGATTCATGTAAAACAATTCGACCCCTCTTAAAAAATATTCTCATTCAGATAATCTGAATGCTTCAGACAGGTGATTTTCCCAGCCATTCATACAATAGGTCTCAAACGTCTTAGTTCTTCAAATTAACTTAAAGATGACAATTGTCTAAGTTGTATTAATTGAGTATAATAATTTTGAAAGCCATCAGTACGATTATATTATCCTACTAAAGCGTAATAAGTAGCGAAATTCCAATCTGCGTCGACAGATCTGCTTTAAACCGAATTATTCGCTAACCATTGCGAAGATCTTCGAAAACGTCTCAACTTATCATCGTTATAATCAAGGCTTGTCTTACAATTAACATCCTTATATCAACCACTCCAGTTCACAGAATGTTAATAAATGATTATTTATGAATACATTTAATTTCATTTTTTTAAAGTTTAATTAACCTTTTGAAATATAGTCCAGAATTTTACTTTTTTAGTCAGTAAAAGTACACAGAGTCATTAAACCTAACGTAATTCGAAAATGATATGTCAAAATTCCATAACTTAATTATTTAACATTACTAGAATTGTAAAGTATTTGACATTTAATACAAAACAGTAAACCTTCCACTAATTTACTCAATATAGATATTATTGTATTTTTTTCAAGAAAGACAGCTAAATTGTGGTGTTTGTATAAACTAATGATTCCTTTGTACTTGATGACTGCCTAATTTCAAATTCCAAATACAATACATTCATTCGTGCATATCTCTGGAATTCCTAGTTTGTACTATAATTCAAATACTCCTTATTCTCATATCGGGATCGTAATCGAATATGTGTTTGAACAATTGGACATATATTCCAATTTTGATACTTTTGAAGATTATATGGAAAGATTTGAAATCAAGCAATTATCAAGTATAAAAAAATTTATTAATTCATACAAACACCATATGAATATAAATTAAATGAACATATTTCATGAATATTTGAAATTATCCTGGGTTCGAATCTTTCAGGGGCGAGGTCGTGGATGCGCACTGTTGAGGGTCCCACAATAGGACGAAACGGCCGTCCAGTGCTTCCAGGGTTTCCATGGTAGTCTAGCTTCAACTGACTCATGATCTTAACCATTGAAATTACTATAATATCCAAAAATCTTTCTGATTTTAAATATTTACATGAAATAAATCATACTTAAAAAAGATCTCAATGAGGAATACCATGGAAAAATATTCATGTACTTACCTATATAATAAATATATTAATAAACATTTATATTCAGCAAACATTGATATTTTAAATTACTTTTCATTTAAACAATGAACTCAATTAAATACTTTCATAAAATTATTATTATCATCATGAGTGAGTTTCTTTTCGTTCTATAAATTGAATTTGTTGTTTTAATTCAATTAAATAGAAATATTGAACTAACTATTTACTTCATAATGATAATAGTAAATGTAAAATTACATTAAAATATAAAGGAAAAAATATACATGTAATCATATAAGATGAATGTATAGTATTGCTTTATTCAATTAAATATGAAATCTTTGATAAATCATCTTTTTTTTAAAAAATAGTGCTTATTACTAAAGAGATTACAATTAGTAGTATTTTATTGGATGATTTTTAAACCAATCAAATCGAAGTTATCTTTATTTTTTTTTGGGAAATATATATATATATATATATATATATATATATATATATATATAAAGCTTGGAAACAAGAAGATAAGTTAACATTAATGTTATATGTAGATAAGAAAGTTTCAAAACGGTTTTAACAAACTCTACACTAAACACATTACAGAGAGAGTATACTGCATACTGCTCCTCTGAAAATGCATTGAGTGGTCTAGCACCTGTAAGTGTATGTCATTCCACAAGTGATATTATTGGAACTGTAAATGTGTAGCCATTTTTATTAGTGCATTTCCTAAGTAAAACCACTTAGTTGCTGTCACTTTATGGTCACCTCGTCACTAGCAAGTTTAACTTATTTGAATAACATTAATAGTATATCACTGTGTCACATGACACACGCATTTAGGTAGACCTGACTGACATATTTTGGTAATTATTGCTTTGTTGTTCCGTGCTCTCTGTTTTTGTTTAATTTCTCTAGTTGTAAATAATTATCATTAATTCGATCTAGCACACGAAATGACCTTAATTACTCCGTTCATAAATCAACGGGCTATCCATTAAAGAAATATTAAAAATTCCCGGCTGATGCATTAGATCGCTGTAATACATGTACTACCTCAACAACTACTGAACTAGTATACTTAAAACTCTCTTCTATCACATATTTGTTCTGTACATTTAATGTTCCTCTTTATATCAAATTGATCATATCTGTAAACTGGCGTGAATTCTGTAATTATTATTTTCAGAATATAAATTATTATTAAACTTTACAAGTAATAGGGTTATAATGACTTTGAACAACAATAGATATACGAATGACGTACAGATTAGAAGAGTGTTCATCACTGAAATAAATGATAATTTTTCTTTAATTCATTTTGTAAATCTATAAGCATGGATGAATAATAAATATTACAGACTGAAAATTGAACTTTCTATGGAATGTAATTTCTTATTAACATTAGTTGATTTGCTTAAATGTTAATATTTGACTTGAATCATTGAAACAATGTGTAAACTTAATAGTTGAGTTCATAAGTCAATTAAAGCTAGACTGTCATGGAAAACATAGAAGCACTTGTTGGCTGTTTCGTCCTAAGCGTGAGTCTAAAGGTCATAGATGAGCACTGCCGAAGATCCCCATACTAGGATGAAACGGATGTCCAGTCCTTTCAGGTTTTCTATGGTGTTTTAGCTTTAATTGACTCATGAACTCAATTATTAAATTACTACAATTTCCACAAAACCGCTTTCTGATAAAGTGTAAATTATTTAACTTATCCAGTTGTTGTGTCAATTACTATGTTAAGCACACATAACTTATTCTAGCTTCTGGACAGGCCGATTTATCGATTGTTCTTGAGTCATTTTGACCTTGTTAATTATTCACTTATCAACCCCAACTGTTTGTATGAGCGTATGTGTGTGTACATCTTATCTTACTCATAATATGTCTGTAGCTTATTTTTGCGTGACTATAAATGTTGATTGACTCTTGATTAAATCGAGTAGGCTCACATGCCTTCTCCACCTCGCATCATTTCGTTTCACTTTGTTCCTTTGATCGTCTGCCTGGATCAGTGATTGTACAAAATATGCGTATTCGAAATCCTTTCTTGTATTTGACTTATTTTAATTCCCTTATTCACTAACTTGAGTTAAGTCGATAATTATACACGAGGATAGTCAGGATGTTTATTTTGACAACAATTATTCATACGATCTAATTGGAGACAAATATCGGACTATTAAACAGTGAATGAATGATACATCGGTTAAAGTGTAGTGGTTAAGCGTACGAACTATTATTATTTTTAGATAAATAACTTGAAATATTGTTAATCACAACATTATCTAACCTTCAATTTAAATAAATGTCAGTTAAATACTGGATTCGATCAAAATCCTATTGTTTGTCTTAAGTCATTTGTTTAAAAAAAACTACTATTCAATACAGCATTTTAGAACTCAAACATTGTTTAGAATGTGACTAGATAAGTTGTTTAAACAATAATCTTGTTTGTTTTCAATATGAAATAATAGAAATGTATTCACAATTGATTGATCACTGGGTGGTGATCAATTTCATGTCTGTCAAATCCTTCTTAGTGCAGATCGAATGATATCGACTCGGATAGCACAGCAGTAACGTCTCTGACTGTGAAGCCGAGTGACAGGGGATCAAATCCGCCAGGGAGCATCAGTTCCTTCAAGATTACAGGTACACCGTGCTGACGAGTGCCAAATAGCATGAAACCCGGGTCCAGGATTTCTTGTTGAATACCTCCAGTCACCATTCCAACCGAAATGTATTTTACAAATATGAGAAACCTGTTTAACACTTAAAAAATCCCAAATAATTCTAGGACGCTCAGCATAAATATGTCAATAGTGACAATTATGTCAATAAGATAGTGTGACTATGAAATAACAACCATATCATCAATATCAGATGTCAGAATAACAGAGTATAGTGAAAATAAACTATGTTCGTATAAGTAAATACATCATTTCCAGCTGATACTTCTCATTTATTCAATGGAAATCTTTTCCTTTACTTTAAATGCTCAATATATCGATCAAACTATATAAGATGGTTCTGTAAAAATACCGATTTTCCTAACGTCTCTATTTTCTGAACTGTAGACATTTTATTGATAAGAGAGTACTAAAAAATTGTATCTAACATTTATCAATGGAATAATAAAAGTATTTAAAATAGTATACAGTTGAACAAGATGAAGTAATCAACATTCACTATAGTCCTAACACATTCAGCTGACGTGCTTCAAATAATATAAGACTTACATCCGATTTTGTTTTCCAATAGAATATCAATATTGAAATATGTTTACAGAAACACAGGTTGATACATTTGATTCTTTAATATAATACATCAAAATACAGGTTTCATTAAACGAGCCAAATGAAATAAACAGTACATCTTATAATGTACACTGAAACTTATGTTGTATAACAATAGATATCTGTTAAAAACATTGAAAAATAATACTGTTTTTTTAAATGAACACATCTATAGGTAACTCGATATATATATATATATATATATATATATATTAGGAACAACGTGATCACATGTAATGTAGTTTAATTGAGAGATAAACTAAATAAGTAAGAACAAAATTAGAACTAACAACGTATCCCGATAACATGTAATTCTAGTAGGATTTATCATTTCATTGTATCATCAAAGACATAAACTGTCCAAGTCAAATTCTGTAGTTATTAATCTACTTATTAATCTACTTGTTATATCTCTTAATATTGTATATTTTCTATAACTAAATGAACTATAAACAAAACTTGTAAATTGTTTCTCTTATCTTATTGATGAATATCAAAGATTTTTTAAAAAAAAAGGTTTCTGGTATCTTAAGAATTGTTTATCAGAAGTGTACCTATCAGTCTTTGGCTTTATTTAACATTTGAACATAGCCAACTTCACCAATGAAAGTTATCATTATGGTTTTAAGTTGACATATGTTTATTCATTAAATACCTATTGTCTCGAAATTTGAAAAAAAAAAGTCATTTCAATAACTAGCTATTTATTCTACTAGAAACTTCATAAAACTTATTCATAATCAAAATAAACTATTCTTTTTGAAGAATTTCTATTTTTCAGTTATTTCTATTATAGTTTCATATAAAAATTGTCCGTTTATATTATTGTTAGATACTCATGACTATATGAAAACATTTTGGGGTGTTCATATGTACGTGAAAATATCTGTCTGAGAATAACGCGTATTTCAATAGTTGGACTCATGAGTCATTTAAAGCTAGACTATCATGGAAAACCTGGAAGCTCTGGATGGCCGTTTCGTTCTAGTATGGAACTCCACAACAGCGCACGTTCATAATCCCATTCGCGGAGTTCAAGCTCAGGACCTGTCCGTCTCACTCGTGAACGTTTAACCTCTAGATCACTGAGACGGATCCCACGAGAGGGATCTTGGATGCACACTGCCAATGAGTCACATACTAGAACGAAACGAACGTCTAGTGCTTCCAGGTTATCTATAGTGGTCTAGCTTTAACTGACTCATGAACTCAATTATTAAATTACTACAATTTCCACAAAACTCCTTTCTGATAATAATGCGTATATTGATAATTTGAAGTTATCGCGCTCGGTTATTTTCAATAAACATGGTTTATTTCAATTCTAAAAAGGGAAGCCATGTAAAATTCGTTACATTTAGAAATATTTACTTAGCTAAATTACTTTAAATGTAATTCATTGTCCTATGAAGTTTTGTACAAAAAAAATTTCAGTCACTTGAGTAAAGGTTAAAATAACTCCTTTCGCTTACACTTTTCTGATAAAAGTTTTAATGATATAAAATGTTTATGTTTATTTACTATTAAACTGAACAGATATCATCCTCAAATAAACCAGACGAATATGTACAAAATTGATAGTATAAGAACATAAGATGGATCATTTCTAATTCACTCATATACACAAGAAAACATATTCTTTCTGTCTGATAAAAGGATTTTCCTAAGAGTTTCTCCAAAAGACTGTCAAATTAAGAAGTAAATCCTAGTAAAACTGTAATTTATGGATGAACTTGAAGCGAATCTTGAGTAACCTGGAGAGATTCGAGTCAATCAACAACAAAAAACAGGTGATAAAGAGTATTAGTTTATTAATGAAAACTAGAAGAATTATATTTCATATATGCTTTCAAAACTTCTGAAGGTTATAAATCAATTCTGATGTTTTGAAAACGTAATGCCTACAATGTAGAAGTTCATCAATATGACTCCATTATGAGCCATAATGAAGTTGCAGAAATGTTTTTCTGCCTTAACAGTGCTTCTATATCGTTATTATGTATGCTAGAAAAGACAATAGACGTAACCGATTTTAGGTAGGCACATGGATGGCATTCAGTCGTTGGTCTATATAATGGCTCTTCATTGGACATACTGCAGTATAATTGATATCAACGCTATTAAGCTGCGTTCTCGAATGTGTTGAAAATTACTTTTTTGTAGTAACCGAAGATCTGCCAAGTAGAATTAAGAAACTGCTTATTGCTCATTCCTCTTTCATATCTCTTCGTTTATTATGATTGCATCTAATAGCGAATGCTTTATCACTTCCTACTGTTCTTTCTACACCTTCGAACGAGTGCTTTATCATATTTATGTCATATACTTCCTTCAATACTTATACTACAGCTTGAAAGCTTCAGTAGCATCAAAAAAAGCAGCAGCCAACATAACTGATCTCTATAATATCTTGTTTATAATAGTCAACTCCGCCTGTGGCTCTTATAGGGTTACTGCCGGTCCCAAGCCCGGGTAAAGGAGGAGGGTTGGGCATGGGGTTAGCGTCCCCATCCCGTAGAAAACTAACTCGCTAAAAAAACGCTTACCAGAAAAAATAATTCAAACCATTTAAACTCTGCCCTGGGAGTTAGAAGGTCTTCAGTTAGAAGAATTATGACGCTTCATGGTGAAAGCCGAGCTCCTTCGGAAGCCACGAGGCCGATGCCCCTTCTAACAACCAGAGCAAAAATTTCTATAGGTACATAGAACGTCCGAACAATGTGGGAGACCGGGAAGACCAGCCAAATAGCAACGGAAATGAGGAGATACAACTTGGCAGTACTGGGAATCAGCGAAACCCACTGGACCCAAGCTGGACAGAAAAGGCTAGCTACGGGAGAGATGCTGCTATACTCCGGTCACGAAGAGGAAAATGCTCCACACACTCAGGGAGTCGCTCTAATGCTGTCCAAAGTAGCACGAAATGCACTTGTAGGATGGGAGTCTCACGGATCCAGAATCACCAAAGCATCATTCAAAACAAAGAAGGAGGGGATCACAATGAATATTATCCAATGTTATGCACCCACCAATGATAGCAACGACGACGACAAAGATCAGTTCTACGAGGGCTGCAATCAATCATGGAGAAATGCCCATGAAAGGACCTCACCATTCTGATGGGAGATCTAAATGCCAAAGTCGGAATAGACAACACTGGATATGAAGATATTATGGGACGACATGGACTGGGAGAAAGAAACGAAAATGGAGAAAGATTTGCAAATCTATGTGCATTCAACAAATTGGTCATAGGAGGCATAATATTTCCACACAAACGTATACACAAAGCTACATGGATCTCACCGGACCACACTACAGAGAACCAGGTAGACCATATTTGCATCAACAAAAACGTCCGAAGGACATTGGAAGATGTGAGAACCAGGAGAGGAGCTGACACAGCTTCAGATCAACACCTAGTTGTAGCCAATTCAAACTGAAGCTAAAGAAGAACTGGAAAATTGGACAAACAGCACTACAAAGGTTCAATACAGTCTTCCTTCGAGATACAAATAAAATTAACAAATTCAAGATAGCTCTCAACAACAGGTTCCAAGCCTTACAAGATCTACTGAAGGAAGAAGAAACTACTATGGAGGACAACTGGAAAGGCATCAAGGAAGCATTAACTTCAACGTGTCAAGAGGTTCTGGGCCTAAAGAAACATCATAAGGAATGGATCTCTATAGAAACACTGGACAAGATCAAAAGAAAGAACAAGAAGGCAGCAATTAACAACAGCCGAACACGAGCAGAGAAAGTTAAAGCACAAGCTGAATACATAGAAGCAAACAAGCAAGTGAAGAGCATTAGAGCCGACAAGAAGAAATACGTGGAAGAACTAGCAACGACGGCAGAAAAAGCTGCTAGAGAAGGAAATATGAAACAGCTTTACGATACAACGAAGAAACTAGCAGGGAAATACAGTAAACCAGAGAGGCCGGTCAAAGACAAAGAAGGCAAGCCAATCACCGAAATTCAACAACATCGGAACAGATGGGTAGAATACTTCGAGGAACTCCTGAATAGGCCGGCTCCAATGAATCCACCGGACATCGAAGCAGCACACACAGATCTTCCTATAGATGTCAACCCACCAACGACGGAAGAAATTAGAATGGCCGTCAGACAAATCAAGAACGGGAAAGCAGCAGGACCCGACAACATACCAGCTGAAGCACTGAAATCAGACATCGAAGCAACCACAAGCATGCTTACCTCTATTCAAAAAGATTTGGGAGGAGGAACAAGTGCCGATGGACTGGAAAGAAGGACACCTCGTCAAGATTCCAAAGAAAGGAGATCTGAGCAAATGTGAAAACTACAGAGGCATTACACTACTGTCAATACCAGGGAAAGTCTTCAACAGAGTGTTGCTGAACCGGATGAAGGATGCAGTAGACGCCCAACTTCGAGATCAACAAGCTGGATTCCGTAAGGATCGGTCGTGCACAGACCAAATTGCAACACTACGGATCATCGTCGAACAATCAGTTGAGTGGAACTCATCACTATACATCAACTTCATTGATTATGAAAAGGCATTCGACAGTGTAGATAGGAGGACATTATGGAAACTTCTTCGACACTACGGAGTTCCTGAGAAGATTGTCAACATTATCCGGAACTCATACGACGGACTACAGTGCAAAGTAGTGCATGGAGGACAGCTGACAGATGCATTCCAAGTAAGGACTGGAGTCAGACAAGGCTGTTTACTCTCTCCCTTCCTCTTTCTTCTGGTGGTCGACTGGATTATGAAGACCTCGACATCTGAAGGAAAACACGGAATACAATGGACAGCTCAGAATCAATTAGACGATTTGGACTTCGCAGATGACCTAGCCCTCCTATCACGTACACACGAACAGATGCAGATGAAGACAGCCAGTGTAGCAGCAGTCTCTGCATCAGTAGGCCTCAGCATACACAAAGGGAAAACCAAGGTCCTCAAATTCAAAGCGGAGAACAGCAATCCAATCACTCTTGATGGCGAAACTCTGGAAGATGTAGAGTCCTTCACATACCTAGGAAGCATCATCGATGAACAAGGAGGTTCAGATGCAGACGTAAAGGCGAGGATCGGCAAAGCAAGGGTCGCATTCCTACAATTGAAGAACATATGGAACTCAAAACAACTTTCAACCAATATCAAAGTGAGAATCTTCAATACGAACGTCAAGGCAGTTCTACTGTATGGAGCTGAAACTTGGAGAACTACAACAACCACAATCAAGAAAGTACAAGTATTTATAAATAGCTGCCTACGCAAGATACTCAACATCCATTGGCCGGATACCATCAGCAATAGCCTTCTGTGGGAGAGAACAAACCAACTTCCAGCTGAAGAAGAAATTAGGAAAAGACGATGGAAATGGATAGGACATACATTACGCAAATCGTCAAACTGCATCACGAGGCAAGCCCTAACTTGGAATCCTGAAGGGAAGCGAAAAAGAGGAAGGCCAAAGAACACATTGCGTCGGATAATAGAAGCAGATATGAAAAGGATGAATTACAACTGGACGGAGCTGGAAAGGATTGCCCAGGACAGGGTTGGATGGAGAATGCTGGTGAGTGGCCTATGCTCCTTCACGAGGAGTAACAGGCGTAAGTAAGTAAGTTATAATAGTCAGAATGATAATAGATGAGATGACACAATTGACTGACCCTAAAGGCAGTATGTGTGTCAAATTTTAACTCAAAGCAGATGATTACAGTATATAGAATAGCTGTCGACTAAGAGCCAGCATTGAGCTGAGATTATAAATTTATGTGGTATGCTTTTTTTAATTACTTGCAGCTGTATTCATCTACTTAACTGAGGCATCGGGGAAGGTATTATCTAAAAATCTCAGAATATACGCTGGTGAATTGAATAATGAATGGCTTCAAGTTATTAATCAGGGCCATAGAAAGAAATAGAATGAATACTTATCATTTAGCAGATAAGCGTACGGCTTTTCGAGATAAAAGGAAGGAACGACAACAGAGTTTTATAATACGGAGAAGCATTGGTTATCATCTCACATTCATGTATGCGTAACATTAAGCATGTGTTCTATCCGCGTCTCTTATCACTTACACTTGACAAAACGAGGAATTACTGAAGTTCTAACGACGCGAAATAAGGTCATGGAGGACTGGTACAATTGAAGATTTATTAACCTCAAAAAACACAATGACGACACTCAAAAGTAAAGAAAATATTACACTGAATCATCATCATAATAAGTGAATAAATGGAAGTAATACTTACTTACTTACTTACGCCTGTTACTCCTAATGAAGCATAGGCCGCAAACCAGCATTCTCCAACCCACTCTGTACTGGGCCTTCTTTTCTAGTTCCATCCAATTCTTGTTCATTTTTCTCATGTCTATTTCCATTTCTAGGCGTAATGTGTTCTTTGGTCTTCCTCTTTTCCTTTGGCCTTCAGGATTCCATGTGAGGCCTTGCCTTTTCACTCAGCTGCCTGCTTTCCTCAATGTGTGTCCTATCCACTTCCAGCGCTAATTCCTGATTTCTTCTTCCGCTGGAATCTAGTTTGTTCTCTCCCACAGTACGTTGTTGCTAATAGTGTCCGGTCAACGGATCCGAAGTATTTTGCGTAGACAACTGTTAATAAACACCTGTATCTTCTGGATGATGGCTTTCGTAGTTCTCCAAGTTTCCACCCCATACAGTAGAACTGTCTTGACATTTGTATTGAAAATTCTGACCTTGGTGTTGGTTGATAGTTGCTTTGAGTCCCAGATGTTTCTAAGTTGTAAATATTCTGCTCTTGCTTTGCCGGTCCGCGCCTTCACATCTGCATCAGATCCACCCTGTTCATCAATGATGCTGCCCAAATATGTAAAGGTTTTTACATCTTCCAAATCTTCTCCGTCAATTGTGATTGGATTGGTGCATTCTGTGTTGTATCGGAGAATCCTGCTTTTCCCTTTGTGTATATTGAGACCTACTGCTGCTGAGGCTGCTGCTACACTGGTCGTCTTCTCCTGCATTTGTTGTTGCGTTTGGGATAGAAGGGCCAGATCATCTGCGAAGTCTAGATCGTCTAACTGCATCCTAGATGTCCACTGTATCCCGTGTTGCCCTTCAGATGTTGACGTCTTCATGATCCAGTCGATCACCAGTAGAAAGAGAAAGGGTGAGAGTAAGCAACCTTGCCTGACACCGGTCTTTACTAAGTAATGTTGACCAAAAAATCACAATGAATCAAAATTTTATTCTGCCTATTTATCCGAGTAACGGTTTGTTTCCAGACATTTAATTTTTCTGGGTATGAAACTGAATTTTCTTTTACCTTTGTCTACCTTACTCTTAGAACAATCGGAAACGTATTTCTCATCCTCCAATGAAGAACCTACTTTCGGATTAATAAAAACTACCAACTTCACAAAAGCAGGGTTTCACTAACTTTACTACCGCAGCCATGTCGTTTCACGTGTCTACATCGAACAGCGAGGAAAAGAATATGTTTGAAAGTTATTTGTTGGGTCTATATTTCAAAATGAGTTAGCCAAACAATTGACAGCTTACGGGAATCAAACTTTTTCTTACTTGATTATATGAGATAGCCATCATCATGATTAATCCTAGCTGTAAACTACTCTGTATATTCATATAGATGCACGTAAATATTTAAAATATTAATTGCTGCATAAATAAATCCCTAACTGTGTGTGGCTATCCTCCACGTCCACTTGTTAAATTAACTTTGGTTCCACAATCAAAACTAAACTCTTCGATTACACTTTATATTAAGTAGATGAACAAGTGGAATACAATGAACTGATTCAATGATAATTTTATTGTCATTGGACGATCGTTTAGTCCCAATATGAAATTCTTTAGCAGTGTGCATCCACAATTCCGCACGTAGGATTCGAACAAGGAATTTCAGTTTTGTGAGAACGCCTAACCTCTAGACCACTAAGAAGGAATCCATACATGATAATGTTTAACTTGAACCAATCTTATGTGTGGGATAGTGGATGATCATTACTCAAGAGTCCCATATTAGGACGAAACAAGCATTCAGTACTTAAATGTTTTCAATGGTGGTCAAACATTGATCAGTTCATGATCTCAACGAAACTCACAATCTCCACAACTCTATACTGACAATCAATTTTTTTAGCCAATTAATAAAACGGGTAAATACGATAATTTACTGCATATATATATAATTTCATGAATATATATCTCACTGAGTGGTCTGTTTAAAAAATACGGATAATACTTCATGTACTTAATCCATTTCAGTGTAATTTAGTGAATGCAAAGTGCTTCTTTATACTTTAGTCATGTGACTATATAATTTCTCATATCGGTTATTTACATCTCACTGGTTTCGCTAAGTCTTTATATCTTTAAAAATAGAATGTCATCAAGTAAATTGTAAGTACTTGAATCGTTATTACTACGTTTATACATAAAAATTCTACTATAAATTCATGATGTACAATTATTTACAAATTAGGATCATGACTTCTGTACTATTAAACATAAAGTTTGCATTGAATTTGGCCAATTTTTTTTATATTTCAACTACCAAGGTAACAACAACCTTATTGGTTAAACAGTTTACATGAGAAAACCAGTACATAATCAATCAAATAAGTCAAATTTTAAAGGGGCAGAAATATTCAAAATTTTGACGTACATAACACTCACTTATACAGTTTTCAGCCTTTTTATCCTGCGATATCGATATACATTCTAAAAAATGTTTTAATCCACTTTGCACTACCATACTGATCGACGTACAGTTACTCTTCCCTTATATATTTTTTTAGAAAAAATTTCAAACATTAGCCATACTTATAACCCTTAAGAACATTCATCATCTTTCTTTCCAAATCTTATTTAACCACAATAATATCTTCATTGTTCATTTTAAATACACTTTCATATCTAACTTATGATTCTTATAACAAGTCTTGTTATTTTAATATCATTCAATGAAACGTTCGACTGCCAATCGCTTTAGCTATCCAGGTAATTATGTATTCTAATACCATCTTTATATTTTATTGTGATCATGATTATTATGATTATTTTACTGTTTTTTTGGTGATTATCGATTTTATCACTTTGTCCATTGTGATCATATAAATTTACATATGTTAATGTCAATATCTCTCATTCTCTTTCTTGTTCCATTCGTCTATAATTTGAACTCGTACGAACACGGACTGTAATTATTCTTCAGTGAAATCAGAAATTTTTGGTATATTGCATATAAAATTATATTTGTATGAAATATTTTATTTTGTTTTGAAAATTAATAAGTACATAGATGATTTAGAATACGCAAAAAAGATTCACTTTATTCCATACTATTTGTTGTTCTTGTTCTACAAATGATGATGTTAGATTTCCATAAGCCGTCAGTCATTAAGTAAAATACAAGTTACTAGGTGAAATAATTATATTGCAAAAACTGATGAATGGTGTTGAATAAACATTAGAAAATAAAAAGTATGAAAATAAGTCGCTAATCAGATAATAGTTAGTGTAATATTTATTGTCCATAATTAACCTATAATTTGATTATGGATTCACTTAGCTTTAACATTTCTCATAATTTATTTTACCTTTAGTTAAATTTACACTTGTAATGGAGACCAAATAATTCTCATTAAACCTGGAAATTGTTTTATGTAAATTAGATAAGAAGAATACTTACATACTTATCCCCATTCACCCCTTACGGAGAATAGGTCGCCGAATAGGTTTCCCTAACTAACTCCGTTCTGGACTTTCCTTTCTAGTTCTTGCCAAGTGCTATTCATTTTTTTTATGTCTGCCTGTTTTCTTTTCACCTTCAGAATCCAAAGTTAAAGCTTTTCTCTTGACGCAGTTTGATGATTTGCTTAATGCATTCCCTATCCATCTTAGGGTCTTTTACTAGTCTCCGCATCAGCTGAAATCTAGTTTCTTCTCCGCCGAAGTAGGTTATCGCTGTTAGTGCCTGGCCATCGGATCCAGAGTATCTTGTGTACACAACTGTTTATAAATACCTGTAGCTTTTCGATGATGGTTGCAATAGTTCTTCAGATTACAGCCCCCAAATGCCCTGGTACGGCCGAGAGTGAGGAGAGTCCGCTCTCCCTATCCAAATGCTCTCACATGGCCACGTGTATACAACCACAGTTAAGGAAGCCCTACTCACTGCCTTCCCGCAGTGGGGGTGTTGCTTACGAAATTGAGAGGACGAAAAGCAAATGTCCGGGGCTTTAACCGCATTCCAAACCAATGGTGCACATGAGCTCCAGTATCATGCGGGAACAAATGGCGTATGAACCAATTGTTGGTCACTGGCTACCATGGGACTGCATCTCCTTACGATGCTCCACTGCCTTGTGGATCAGGCCTTCAGATTGAAGGCTCCGGGTGTGGCCCCCTAAGAAAACCACCTGCTTTGCTTTGGGCACCCGGGCAGTATCACAGCCCTCACATATACCAAATGAGATTTGTGTGGCGCATATGTATTTGGTGCATTCTTGTACCAATATCTATGTGTTAAAATAAATAAACAAAAAGATTTCAGCTCAGTGCAACAGAACTGTCTTGACTCTGGTATTAGAGATTCTAACTTTGATGTTAG